TTGGCACAGCTGTTAACACAGGACAGGAAAGTTGTAATTGCATAAATATCGCAAGGGAAAATGTCAAGAGGCCACCAGATCCAAAGTATGAAGAACCAGTAGATCCCATAAGACAAGCCAAAGAGCAGGAAGACCAAAACTGTGAAGGCAATGGTCACATACAGCCTGGTCACTGGCATCCGTCTTGAGCCACAGAAAATTCTGACTAACAGAGTCAGGGTTGACCCTGAGAGTATTACAACTAAAACAATTAACCAAGCAAAGGTGATGAAATCTAGTTTCTCACACCAACCATAACCAAACCCATCATAAAGTAAGCCACATGCCATCCCTTCCAGGAGGCTCAATAGCAGGGACAAGGCCCAGAGCAGGGCACACATGACAGCTGATGTATGTCTTGGACGTCTACAGCGATACCAGATGGGCCACACAACAGAGAGGCAGCGCTCAGCACTAATGGCACTGATCATGCTCAGACCTGAAAGGTAAGTAAAATTAAACACAATTCTCAAATACTTCTCAAGGCCAATGTGGATGTTGTGGTTATGAATAATATCGCTAATGGAATATACAGTCTGAAAACAGAGGAAGAGGAAGTCAGCACCAGCCAGGTTGAGGATGTAGACAGAGAAGGCATTCCTATGCATGTGGAAGCCCAGAAGCCAGAGCACTGTGGCATTTCCAACCAGCCCAACCAGGGCAATGATGACTATTAGAATATTCAGTGTATGGGACATGGTCTTACAGGTTAAGTTTGGATTGTAGTAACTTTCATTCACTCCTGTGTTGTTAGTCCTCCAGGCTAAGGTGGCTAGGTCCATGCCAGACAATTCTTCACTAGTGTTCCTTAAATGAAAAACAAGACCTAAGAAATGCTGTATACATTCCTATTTTCAGGCACATCCTGCTCTGTGGGAGTAACTAACCCTGGTTCATGAGGAGGAGGAAACAGATTTACAGAAATTAAGTCATTTGTCAAACCCTAAAATTTCTAGACGCTTCTTCCAAATCAATTTTTTACTGACTTGAGCTATCTGTAACCAATTCATCTACCCACACTGGGGTAGCTGATAGCTCAAGCACAGCTGCTCAGCATCCTATGTGGTATCAGGAAGAGGCAGGGCTCTGACCACA